GTCAGGGGTGTCAAACTCATTTTTGTCGTAGGCCACATTTTAGTTACCGTTTCCCTTGGGGGGCTGTTGTGAGTGAAAACATATTTTTAAAAAAATCAATAATAACGGTTTATTCAGCTATTGTTTAAGTTACTGTAATGAGGAGTTTGGTCACAAGAAAATGCTTACAATATGTCTCTAATTTATTAAATATGAGAATTTTAAATTTTGGTAGAGATTTCAGTCAGCATCATGGAAGTTGACATGTTTGATTTGCTTTCATGGGCCACATAAAATGATGTGGCGGGCCACATCTGGCCCCCGGGCCTTGAGTTTTTGACACTTGTGTTCAATGTCGTCATGTGCAAGTCCTCGCTGTCAAAACCAAGACAACAATGATCCATTGATTAGTCAACCGAGAAATGTCACTTCTGAGTGGAATGGGAAGAAAACAAATTGGATAATGTCATCACACCGCAGTGTACTATCATTTATTTTTTCCAATTCTTTAATTCACTGTTTGCCATATTTCACATTAGAAAAACAATAATGGCACCCGACCAACAAATATCACAACAATTATATATCCTGGAATAATGATTGTTTTGTCACAAATTTAGTAACTTAGTGTGGAAAGTGTGCCTGTTTGATTAAAACCAAAGTTAATATCCAATCTTCCCTTGCTATTTTGTGGTTCAGTTAGTGCGGATTCACTCAATCGCAGATTTTCATTTGTCACCGTAACCTCACAATTTTGTGGGTTTTCTTGCCGTTTTTCTTCCTTCCAAGTTGAGCCTGTCAAATGTAATTGTTTTCGTAGAGACAGTGGCGCGCTCCCCTCTCATTAATTTCCGAGCGCAGCCTATATTCTAAACCAATCAGGAACTCATGCTTGAACTGTTTCCATCTGGACTGCCCGACGCATTGGCGCACCGTGTCCCCAGTTGGTGCGCTGAGAGCGCGCACCGGCACCCTGTTTTTGATCCACATTTGAATAAACCGAACCAATTTTGCTAAATGCTATTGTTGTCTTGGTTCAGATTTCAACAGATGTCAACAAGTAAATACTCTTAGCAGATATGTCTATTTGCTCACTCACCATTTTCGGAGTCCAAATATTGGAAGCTGGCTGTGTAGTAAAGCTACGATTATATTATCCATTGTTCCGTGCTACCTGAATGGGATGTTTTGTATGCGGATGGAGTAACCGCATTCTTGACGCCGATTGACTGTCTCAAAACGATGTGACATCACAGTTTACTAAAGCGTAAAAGGCATGATCTTGGGCTTTCCTTGAGTTCATCCAAAGCCAATCAGACCAATTTAGTTTTGGGACACCGAAGTGCCAACTGGCTGTTGATGGGGACAAAAGGCTTTGAGGAAGACAAGGGTGGCGTGCATAAGATGTTGCCACATTGCAGAGGTGCTAAACTGTCAACAGTGGTGTGAAGGTGATGTGATCAAAGGCTCCTGAAGTAAGAGCCTGGGGAGCAGCAGAAGCGCAACGTGTGAAGTTAAGACGTGCTCTGCCTGCTCGATGAAATGAACAACACTTGACTCCTCCATTACATCCGTGCACTGTTAATGGCTTTATTTAAGCATGAGAGAATCCTCACGTGTATGTGAGCTGAATTTATATTAATTACAAGATTATTATTATTTTTGTTTTTAGGCATCAATGGTTGATTCGCTTGTACAGTTGATGTGAACCTATTTCAGTATCAACTTTTTTTTTTTTAACAGACAATCTGAAAGATGTGATCGTCTCTGTCGGACGTCCGAAATTATGAAGAGAAGAATGGTGCAGCTTTGATTTATTGTCTGTTGGCATAAGTGCTTGGCAGGGCATTTATACTGTAAGCTGTAAATGACAGCTGCATCACTTGCTTCAGATTGATAGTTTTTATGTTTAACACAATTGTGCGAGGATGCAGTACAGTAAAACACCTCTGGAACCACAACTGCAATGGTAAAACATTCAATTATTAACCCTCTGACTGTGGGAAAAAAATTGTTCATTTGGGTAAAGGCAGACTATTTTTTTTTTTAAATACATCTTGAATGATTCAGGTTAACCAAATGCTGAGCAGGATCCAAATTCTGTTGCTCGGTAAAAGGCAAGCTTAAGAGGAAAGCTTAGCACTCTGGGAAAATTTGGACTTTCTCCTCTATGTCACAATGCTCGGTGGCAAAGGTTGTACAAGGGTTGGTCATTGGACTTTCCTTGTTCAACTATGCAGAAAATTAACCATGAAGTAATTAATTGTTCTTATTATGTATCAACTTTATCACAGGCGATGCATTCCAGACTCACCTGTGCTAAGTGAAAATCGATGTGAAGAGACCATAAAAACTACTTTTTAAAAAATTTCCCCTGCCACATACCGGTACTTTAAATGCATTAAACTTCATAAAATTCTTACACTTACGAAAAAAATCTGTCATGAAATGGAAGGCTAATGAAGAGACTCGTGAGAAGTGTGCTTGCCTTAAGCTATTTGTCACTCCCAGTTGAAGTTGACTGTACAACTGACACATAAAACAGATGAATTTTATATTTAGACACCTAAGCGTTCATGCAAACAATCTCATTTTGTCCTGTGAAAGTTCGCTATCTTAACGCTATGTTATAATTCCACAGACAGGCTAACGACATTAGCGGAAATGTTTGTAGTAGCACTATATCCCTGGCTACTGGGAAAATACAACTTGGAGCCTACATTTCAAGATGTTTTGGGACAGCCTTTGCATGGTGTTGTAACATCACTAACCTTAAATATATTGCTCCTAGTGTTACAATAAACACATTACTGAAGCTCTGATGCTGTTCTCCCGTAATTGTTTTTGTGTCTGGTTTGTGGAGAGAAAGAGAGGGAGGGAGCCATCAGTCCCAGTTAACATACCTACATCGAGAAGGAGATCTTGGGACTATACGATGGAAAGCAGAGGGGAGGGGCAAGTTTGCAGGTGTGACAGAGTCAGGGGGTGGGGTTGTTTTAGGGGTGGGTAGGTTGTCTCTGTGTGAGAAAGGAGACAGAAAAGATGAGCAGGCAAGGGCACAGCAGCAAAACAGAAGGCTGCGTGTAGAGTGAAAAGAGGGCGCGAGTGGGAGAGAGAAAGACGAGAGTGAGGGAGGGAGAAGCGAGGGAGAGAAAGTGACAGGGACATAGGCTAGAGGAGGAGGCAGTGAAGGAGGAGGGTGGGGGGGCTGTCAGGGCAGACCCAGCGAGCGGGGGCAGAGAGAGGGAGATTTTGAATCTGTGAGACAGACAAGAAGAGACGGAGCTGGTGAGGTGACACGGGCTCGGTAGAGGGAGAGCGAGCAAGCGAGGCAGCGTGACAAGAGGAAAGGAGTGAGAGAGGAGAAGGAGAGACGACAGTGTGGTGTTGCTCAGAATACGATGATGGGACTCTACTATCCTTCCGTGTTGTCGGTGAGTATTTATCCTCCCTGCTGCCTGTGCCTGTGCCTGTGCTTGGATGCTTGGTGACTCTCTTCGCAAAGGCTCCGCTTGCGAGTACACCACAGTCTGCAGGACTGTCATCAAGCGTGACGTGCTGATTAACGGACGAGAACTCCACTTGACCCTTTCACTCCAGCGCTCCACTCGTTTTATTCCCCACGCCGACCGCGATGTGTACGTCCAAAGTTGCCGTTTGAAATGTTTGCAATGGTGAAATGCTCGGGTGGCGATGGATGGTAACGCTGTTGTTGTGGCATCTGTTCTGCCGCCCAGAGCTAGAAGCGCACGCAATGTGAACATCAGAGCAGTTCCTGCCAGAAATTATTCTGCCATGTATTATGTATGCTCAGAAGAATCTATGCGATCGGTACAGTGCAGTTGGCTGGATGCTGCGGATATCCTCGCTGATAAACTCAGCACATGGCTGCTGGGCTCTGAAAGCAATAAGGGGAGAGGGGGGGGTGGGGGGGGGAGTAAAAGTGGTCTTTATTGCCCCTGCAGCTGTCTGTGTACATCACTCTTGCCTATGAGCAAAAGGGACAGGTGTCCACAGAACAGTTGCTCTCCCTTCTTACACTCCTCTCCTGGCTCGTGGCACC